ACGTCATGTGACCGTACCTGCACACAACCACACGTCATGTGACCGTACCTGCACACAACCAGACAGTATGACGTGACCAACGTTGACACTGCCTGTGACTTGACTACAGATGCAGTACGATCACAGGGTGGTAGATTCATGACCTGGGTCACTGATGAGAACATGAAGACATGTCGCACAAACACACGGTGAGGAGTGTGTCTAACAGAAGCTCCTCGTTGAGCTGCTGGACCTCTTCTCATGGTGGAAGCTTTGAAGTGTTCAGTGCCATCAAGTAAAGCTCACTTCTGTTTCATAACACCTGATTAAAACCCAGGTATCTACGGCCCAGCAGCACCTCTACTGTCACAACTAGCTCAAGGATGTAAAGCCTTGCATCGTGTTTTGCCCACTTCCAACCTATTTCGAGGTCTAATAGAAAAAACAACAACATAAAAACAGAAAACGGCAGTCTGTAGATGTTCAGGCCTAGGTCAGTACTGAATGATCAATACTAGCAGGTGTGTTACTGCAGGTACACCTGTACAACAACACGGTAAGGCCCACGACTGGCCACATTGTTGGTTGACTGGTGGTTAAAGCTGCTGTGACTCACCGTGGGAGGGAAACATTGACCTGTCCACTGGAGATGATCTCCACTGACTTCCCCCAAAACTTGTTCTTCCATCTCTGATCTGAAAGCAGACAGAGCTGTAGGTTGGACTCCACTCATCCAGTCACGGAGGATCCAGCACTCATCAGTAAAACTCTGCTCCTACCTTGCCAGAATGTGAAGTTTTCTGACTCTGCATGGCAGGCAGAGACTGGAGGGTGATGGCTGACCTGAAAACATTCAACACATTAGTTTGTTCTGAACCAGACGCTGACGTCTGGGCAGCAGGTCTTAGAGGTCGGGTTGGGTCCTGGCTACCTGCTCGCTGATGTACTGGAATCCTCGGTCTTCTCTGTAGCTCTCATAGGTTTCTCCTAGGACGGGGTTGAAGGGTTTGTAGCGATACCTCCACGACGCCCAGGCGTAACCAGAGATGGAGAAAGCTGCCACATAAACCTGGGAGCATACATACGTTTTTTCAGTCCCAGAGCTGAACTTCATGTCAGCTCTGGCCGGTTAGTTAATCCAAACTCACCATCCTCTCATACGGATCGTCGATGTGGTTGGCGATGTCCAGCAGCTCGGTGTATTCCAGCTCCTCGCTGAGCCTCTGCAGCAAAGACACCGGCTCATTGAGAGCCACTGGCATGGAGACCCTGGACAAGTCTTTGCCGATGTTGTTGTACAGGATGGTCATGATGCCGATGTGGCTGTTGTCTGCTCCGGGGGCAGGCAGGGCGGTGCGGCGACCTGGACCACAGCAGCAAAAACATCAGTCAGTCAGCTGGTCAGATGCATCACATCAGACGGATTCATCGGTCAGACTTCTAGGCTGTCTGCATCAATAAGCTGTTTGCTCGTGAGCGTGTGCGTGGCAACATCATTACCTGTAAGGGTGCTTCATCGTATTAAAACGTATTTAAATTAAGGTCTGACTAAAACAGGAGCTAACGGTCAGTAGCTCAGAGGTGGAAATGTGTTTCTATAGCTTGGAGGAGGTGCTGCTTTAAAAATAAAGAACCGCTGACATCGTTTTGCCTCTAAAAACATTTTTTACGGCTCCAGTCTACTTCCTTTCCACACAGTCTGCTCTCCAGTACAGTCCTGAACACTGGCCAGGTGAAGCAGCAGGACACCGTGTCCACCATGTGGGTTATGGCGGGGGCTTGTGCCGGCCTTACCTGTGTCTGTGGGCACTGGGCTGGGTTTGTCAGCTGCACTGTTCACGCTGGCTCTGTAGTTGAGGGTGGCAGTGGCTGAGGAGGACAGAACACACAGGTTGGTGTTTTTTCTGCTTTAAGCTCAGGAAGTGTTGCCGTGGTGGACAGATAGAGACTCACAGTGGCCCTCCTCGGGCTCGGAGGTGGTGGTGGTGGTGATGTCGCTGAGGCCGGACTCGTCTGAAGCCTCGGCCTCTGAGGAGGTCTCACACACGATCACCTCGCTGGCATCGAAGTACTCCGCCATGGATTCTGCCACTGAGGGTGCACGGTGACTGTGGCGGCCCATGGATGGCGTCCTCTGGGAGGAAGAGCAAAGGAGGGAGGAAGGAGTTCAGGTTCAAGCCTTGTTTTCACCATAAGACAGAGATCTGTGTGTGCAGAAGACAAGTGACAGATTAAAGGGAAAAACCAAAGTCAGTGCACATAAAAGCCAGTTGTTCTCAGGACTGCCAGACCCTCCCAGGATGAGCTCCGTCCATACTTCACAGAGATGCAGATCATGTGCCAGTCAGCAAGTCTCAAACCAGTTTACAGTAAAACATTTAGACAGCTCTCTCCACCACCATTATCAATCCTTTGTCAAATTATCATCAGTCTTTTGGCAGAACGGTGTTTCTTCTTTCCTCCATAGAGTTTCAGAGAC